AATATCACATGATCATTGTATTAAATCAATAATATTGTAACGTAACCACTAAACATTGTATTAAGTTATCTATGTTTTAAAATGAAAATAAAAATATATTAAATCAATAAATTTGAAATAGCATAATTATATATATATTTTCTAAATAATATGAACTGGCATAAAACAAATTTTAATAAAATTTGGGATTTATCTGTTAAATTGGATCAGACTTTAGTAAGCATGAAGTATAATAATATTATACATAAATTTAATCAAACTCGGCTATTTTGGATGAAACAAATTAAATTAAAAAGGTCGTCTTCATAATAGATTTTACACTATCTTATTTAAATGGTTAGTTAATAAATACAAATATAGATGAATAAATTAAAAATAAACAAAGCAATTATGGTTATAATCTATAGTTATTTGGATACTAATAGTTTATTAAAAATATAATTCATATATATAACAATGATATTTGATTCATTAAAAAGTATAATTTAAATTCAAAATAAAAATAGAGTAATATTAGCAATGTCTATTTTTTAAGAAAGATGAAAATGTAAAATAAAGTTTAAAAAACCCATTCATGTAAATAAAAATGTAACCCCATGTGAAAATGTCTGAAGGAAAACTGTACATACTATTTCCATTTGGTTCATTAGTACATCCCCATTTCTAGCACCTAGCTATGTTGAATTGACCCATCTTTATCCAACAACTAAGTAAAATAAAATGGAGGGTTGTCATCAAGATTTTATATTAGTGGAGAAATATTTTCTTATAATTGTCCAGATATTTTATTTATTTAAATTAAATCTCATTCAAATTTATGATAATAATAGAAGTTTTATTTTATTTATGTATAATATTACATTTTAAAACTTATTTAAACGACTTAACATTTTATTGTTATTTAAACGACTTAACATTTTAGTGTGCTAAAGGGTAAATCACATCAGATACCATTGAATTTTAGGTATTGTATTATTTATACTACTAAATTTTTTATTTTACTATTTTTAATTATATGACTGAATTATTAAATCATTAATAGTACAATAATGTAACTATTAACATAGACACCTCACTAAAATAATGTTATTACAAAAACGCACATTTAAAGAATTTACATACAAGAACGTAAGCAACGCAAGTAACTTACCAGTTACCACTACACCAATGGATAGTTGACAATATACATGGTTATACCTCGAATGTCACTTCCTAAAACTGACAACTCTTCATCAGTTAAGATTTTTGGATATGCTATTCTTTCACTGGCTCTTCGCTCAAATCAAAAAAGTGAACAGAAAATGACGGACAAAATAAACTTGTTCCATCAACATATATATACATACACACACATATAGTGAAGCTATTTATCAGGTGAAAAAGAACTGATCTCTCTGGCAAGGGAAGCGGCAACCATATTCGAAGTAGCAACAGAAGGGAACATAAATACATAGCTCATATAATCACAAAGAACTGTTCTAGGGCCTGTCCATTTTCAAACAACAAGCAAAACCAATTCACACTCAGCTAAACAAGCGAAGAAACGAATACCCAAACGAAAGGGAAATAAAGAGAAGAAGAAGAAAACACAGGAAGGGTTTTACCAAGAGCAGCAAGCTCAACTGAGCTTCCTTGACCAATGACTGCAGTGTCAATTAAACTCATCATCGGCCCACAAATCCAAAGCCCAGTTGCAGGTCCTGTGAACATTACAATCTTCTTCATTTGGCTCCATGAACTCTGGCTCTCCAATATTTTCCCATCTTCTTGGTCCCCCAATGAATCCGAGGAGATAGTGTTTTCAAACCCACCATTTTGTTTTACGATTTCAGAGTCGAAATGCGGTAGCTCTTGACTATAACCAATGCAGTTTTTCACAAAACGACTGTGTTTAGAAGGGAAACGAAGGGAAGAGAGATTTGGCAATGGCGGTTTGCTTAAGAACGTTGAAGAATAGCGGCGAGATAGTGATTTAAGATTTGGGGGTTCTCAGGGGATGATTGAAGAGAGGTGTTGATTGCATATTTCTCGGCTGAACAGGATTTACAGTTGAGTTCGGCGTTCGGACAAGGAACAGCAGTTGAAAGCTGGTGGTTTTTGCTCTGAATTGTCTGCTGCAAGAAAATGAATAAAAAGCCAAATAATCAAATCCTTCTTATTTCCTTTTTGTTGCAACGTGCATCAAAAGGGATCTCATATTTGGAATATTTTTAGCCTCTGGTCAATGGTATCTCTTCGTTGTAGAAAACATATAGGGTTTACTATATATTTAGTCATCTAACTATCACTTCAGTTCTTTTTTGGTCAACTAACCATTATTTTTTTAAAATCATACCTATAATTACATATTGATTCCGTTTTGATCACCAACCATTAAAAAATTCACGGTGATGTTCATGTGCCACCATAAGATATGCAGGGATGAACCTAGGCGGGGCGGGTAATAAGTTAAAATCACCATATATTTTAGATTTTTTTTATGTGATTCTATGAAAAATTTGTTTTCACCCCTAGAATTTTATAATTTTAAGTTCGTCCCCCAACATAAAATTATATGTCCGTCTCTGAAGATATATCACATTATCATTGAAAAAATATAAAAAAATCACATCAACAATTTTATTCATTTTTAAACGATGAGTGACCAAAACGAAACTAAAACATAATATAAGCATAGTTTTAAGAAAATAATTAGGTTAATAAAACATAACCAAAATGATAGTTGAGTGACAAAATATGTAGTTTACTCAAAAATATATTACTGCTAAAGAAACCGGATAATATTTATTAATAAAAATTAAATCGTGAAAAATACAATAAATTTATTGTATTATGATAAAAATCATTTTTATATTTGTGTAATAGAAGTTGTCTATTAAAATTAATATGGGTTCTTTTATATTCGCACACCTAAATATGTAATAGGAAAAAATAAAATAAAATATTATAGTGTTTAAAACAGTGAATTAAAATTTAACATCTATAATGAAAAATCAATGAATAAATCGTTAAATAATGATTACAGAAAATCAACCTCAAATGAATAAAAAGTATCTCTTAAATCTACAATAATTACTCAATCTTTTTTAAAGTTTAAAAAGTGATTAAAATAAATTATTTAAATATTTTTATTAATTAAAAAATTAAAAGACTACTTTGTATTGTCAACGTTGTGTTTGGTTAGGGGAATGTGAGATTCTCATGAGAATAGAATCCATATTCTCTCGTTTGGTTGGTCGGGAATATCATTCCCGGTAATCTTACATTACCAATAGTGGATTTTTGGGGTATATTATCGGAAATGTCATTACCTCCCTTTTCTTAGGTATTGTTGGATTACCGACGTTTTGGACTAAAATGCCCTTGATTTTTTTTCCAAAAATATATTTATTCTGTCATTGAATAATAAAAATTCTACGAAGGTTAAATTACAAATTTATCTTTAAACTATTATAGATTTACAAAAAAATATATAATTAAAATTTTATATAAAATTCAGGGGTTAAAATAAAAATTTATCCTTTCATTAAACCTTTTTATATTTTAAATTTTGTAAAAATATATATAAATTTTATGAATTTAAATTTTTAAAAGAAAATATATAAATATTTTTCAACTTGTTAAAAAAATAAATATATAATAAGGACAATTTGGTCAAATATACATTTTAATAATATTTTATTTCTTTAACCAAACATGGTAATCTTACATTCCTGCTAAACCAACCAAACACAAAATACAACATTTTAGTAATCCTATTCCCTAGTAATCTTTTATTCCCACTGGTAATCTTTTATTCCCACTAATAATCTTTTATTTCCACTGATAATATTATATTTTATGAACCAAACGCAACTTTAAGATATATCCTTTCAGGATATGGTCTCTTTTTCCATGTCTGAAAAGTACAGTTTTCCTTACTCTCTATGCTTTTTTTTGTTCTTGATAAAGTAAATAAATTATCATTAAATTACATTAAAATATTTTTGTCATTATTTTTAAAAAAATAAATATAATATTTTCAATCATTGCATGCTATAAGCTAATGACAAACTTTTAAAAAGTTATGAATAATTTTGGAACAATTTAGTTAATTTGATAATTATTTTATGATACTTGATAAAATATAATCATCATTTTATAATTTTAATGATAAAATAAATAATCTAATTTAACTTAATAAACATTTATTTACTTTACTTTTGTTCCTATCTTAACGTTACCTGTGTGTGTTCCTGAAAACTATAGTTTTTCCTCTTAATAAAGGCAGGCATGCCCCTGCATTACAGTAAAATTTTTCAACCTGGTACATGTATTTTTTTTAATAATCATTATTATCTAATTCATTAATCCATCAATCATACTTCAAAAATATTTTATACCGAAGACTTTTATTCCGGTTAAGATAAAACAAGATTTGGTTCAGACTAACAACCGATAATTCAATCAGTTGATAAAATTCATTGTTATAAAAAAGCAATACACTCTCGACGTAGACAATGCATGCCACATGCAAGCGAAGACAGATTTAATGCGTGAGGATTCAATGGAAGCATAAACAGGTTTCCCCACCACTTTTTATCTCTCTTATGGATTTTAAGATATTATGTTGGAATATTCAGGGTTGCAACTACCCTCGTTTTCAACTAGCCGTTTGTCAATACTTGAAGGAATTCAAGCCGAATGTGATTGTGTTTATTGAAACTCGTATAAGTGGTAACAAAGCATACTCTTTTATTGCTTCTATGGGCTTCCCGTACTCTCACCGGGTTGAGGCTGCTAGCTTCTCTGAGGGCATTTAGTTATGCTGGTATGATCATATTCAAGTTGATATTCTGATAAATCACTTTCAATTCATCCACTGCCTTATCTTCCAACTTACCTCCGGTTTGTCTACCTTGGCCACATTTGTTTACGCTAGCCCCAACTCTACTAAGCGTAAACGGTTATGGCCCCATCTTCGCTCTGTTGCTGCTGCTATTACTACCCCTTGGATCGTTATGGTTGATTTCAACGCCACTCTGTCTTCTTCGGGTAGACGCAATTGTAATAGCTCCAACCCGCCAAGTAAAGACTTTCATAACTTTGTCTATGATAATGGTCTTTGTGATATGAGGTTCCAAGGCCCGGAGTTCACTTAGAATCGCAGAATCTGTTATGCTCGTCTTAATCATGTTCTCTGTAATAATTATAGGGATGAAGCTTACCCGAACTCTTCTGGCAGACATCTATACCGTATGCGCTCAAACCATCGACCACTTCTCTTTTGTATTGGTGCTTCTCATCCGAATCATCGGGCTGCCCAATTTAGATACTTCTCTGGCTGGTCCAAGCATGAAGACTTTGACCGCTTTGTGAAGGATAATTGGGTCTCCTCTGAATCACTCTCTGATTCCATCTCGAGATTTACCTCTATGGTCACTATCTGGAATAAGTCAGTCTTCGAATATATTGGCGCAATAAAAGGGACAGTCATGGTGAGGCTCAGAGGGGCGCATAAAAGCTTGAATCGCGGCCACCCCAGGTTCCTTATTGACCTTGAAGCCGAACTCCTCATTGAACTTGAGAATCTCCTTAACTTGGAGGAAAAGCCTTGGAAGAAACGTTCACGATCAGATTGCATTTCCCAAGGAGACAGAAATACAAAATATTTTCACAAGAAAACCCTCCATCAAAAATTGTTAGAAAATGCCCAAAGACCAATCGGTTGGGATCGTCGGTGCACCTCATGGTGCAGCGAAATAAAAACTCAACGGTCTCATTAGCGATCCAAATACGTAAAATCGAAACTGGAAGGAAATGATGCGAATAATTACAATGGATTCCTTGAAAAACAACAAAGACAACAGCGGCTAATGGTGATCACGAACAGTTCGAATCATAAGCCTCCAAAAAAACATGTCTCGGCCTTTACTCAGTTCATCCGATTGAGAGCAAAGTTTACTTTTTTCAAAAAAAGTTTTGAGAAAAACAGCTGAAGAAGAAATGGCTGCTAGATCTTACCTCACTTTAAATATATGAGTTACCCTAACATATTAGGAATTTTAAGTTATTTTGAATTAATTAAAATCTTATTTAATTAATTCAAATTAAATATTCATTAAACACTTATAATCCGAATTATAATCTTTAACGTTTATTTAATCTCTTATTTAATTATTCCGAATTAAATATCTATTAAAAGAGTTTTAATCAAAATTGCATTCTTTTAATGTTTACTTATTATATTCAGGATAATTAAAATCACATTTATATTAAATATACATATATTAACTCTAGATATATTTTAGTGACGTACAACAAATTGTACATATTTGCTCATTTCAATCTTAGAGTGTGACCCTGTAGGTTCTTGTAACATTAGTAGTAATTATTATAACAATTATAATATTACATACAATGAGTGACATCTAGCAATATATCATTTTCACCTAAGTTACAAGAAATTATGATTCGACATATCATCTTCGTGATTAACTCTTTTATGTATTACATCCTTTTGTCCTCTATATCTAGAATAAGCACAAGTCTTGGAATAATCACACTTGTATAGCCCATCTATTGTTTCTTGATATCTAAAGTAGACTATAATTAAAGAATAATTTGTGATGTCTCATATCAACTTATTTAAGCATGACCATGCATTTCTAGTTTCACTCAATCAAGTGGCATGTGATATATTTCCTATTATGTAGGAAGGACAAATCATATCTTAATCATACACATCCCACTACATATATCGAGATATATTCAATAACAATATTTATAGTGCAACCAGTTACAGAGCATGTTTAACTGTATCAAAACATACAACAATATATGTTGGGATAACATTGATCTCAAGTCTGAGGATCATACATATAGTCATCACCATGAGCAATGTTATGATCATCACATAATAATCCAAGACATATGCTCATGGTGGGTCAATCCAGTACATTGTTCTCTAACAATATAATCATGTATCAATTCTGACATCTCTATGCCAATGACAACTCGTTGTCATCAATCAATAACATGTTAGTCTTAAGCGTATTATTATTGTCCATGCCTCTAATAATACTTTACTATGGATCTTTTAATAATAATAATGTTATTATATGGACTTTATTATCTTTCAGTTTATATTAAACACATACATATAACTAAAAATAATAGTGGCAATGCCTTTATTCAATAAAATCGGTAAATAAATGTATTATTACAATCATCATATGATTGGTCTTTGGGCATACTCTAACACAATCATGTGATGATTGTATTGATATACTTTCTTTACATGATTTATTAAGTAAAGGCATTACTGTTATTTTCTTTAGTTATATTTCTTTGTAGTAAAAAAAACTAAAAGATAAAAATGTCCATATAATAATATGATTATTATTGAAATGTCCTTAGTCAAGTACTATTATAGGCATGAACAATAATAATACGTTTAATACTAATATGTTGTTGATTGATGACAATGAGTTGTCATTGACAGAGAGATGTCAAAATCGATGCATGAATATGTTGTTAGAAAACAACATATTAGATTGACCCACTATGAGCATATGTCGTGTGTTTTGATACAGTCAAACTTTCTCTGTAACTAGTTGCACTATAAATACTAATGTTAAACACGTCATTGTATATGTAGTGGGTGTGAATGATCAAGATAGAATTTATCCTTCCTACATAATAAGAAATATATCACAGACCACTTGATTGAGTGAGATTAAAAATGCATGGCAATGTTTGAATAAGTTTATATAAGATATCACAAATTATTCATTTATTATAGTCTACTCTAGATATCAAGAAATAATATATGGGCTATACAAGTGTGAGTATTCCAAGACTTGTGTCTATTGACAAAAGGATATAATACATTGAAAGAGTTAGTCACGAAGATGTTATGTTGAATCACGACTTCTTATAACTTATGTGATAATGATATATTGCTAAATGTCACTCATTGTTTGTAATATTAGAATGGTCATAATATTACTAGTAACGTTACAGGACCTATAGGTTGACACCTTGGAGTTGAGATGAGCAAATAATGAGTTATACATGTAAAATTTTATTGTACATGAATAAAATGTATGATTGACATTAATATATATATATATATGCTTTTTTAATTATACTTAACATGTTAAATAAAATATTAAAAGGATATAATTAGAGTAATTATATTTATTTTAACAAAAATTGAAATTAAACCTTAAGGATTAGATCAACAACATTATAAAAAGAAAAGAATGGCCTAACAGTCGTTTCACTCTTTACACATTTTTATCAAAACAGTTTTGCGATAAAGAAAAATTTTCTTTCAATCGGGTGAACTTAGTAGAAGCTGAGACGTTTTTTCGTGGAGGCTTAGGATTCGATCTGTTCGTGTCATGACTGCTGATTTGTTGTTATTCCAGGAATCTGAGGTAAATTTCACAATCTTTCCTCTTGAATTCAATTTTTCGTACTTGGATCACTGATGAAATCGTCAGATAATTTTATCGCTACGACATGTGGTGTACCAACGATTCCAAAAAAAACCAACTAAATAAAGTTATGTCACTCAAACTTGCTTATTGGGAGTGGTGTCACGATGAAGATGAACTTCGGAATGAAGATACTCGCTTTTTCCACTCTATTCATACGATCTATACAACTGTGGATGGTAGGTTCCCTTACACAAGTTGTTTTCCTAAGATCTCAAACTCGATGATGGAGTCTCTTGCAGGTATTCCCCCCTTCCGAGATACATGCATCTCTTAATGCCATGGATCCATTAAAATCCCCAGGACATTATGGGTTTCATGTCGAATTCTTTCAAAAACAATGATATGTAGTAGCGAAATCTCCTTGGAAAATGGTTCAAGAAGTTTTCATTGGTGGTAATATTGAGTCTTCTCTCAACCAAACAGTTTTGGTTCTCATCCCGAAAATTGATAATCCTGACACCTTCTCAGACTTTCACCCAATCAGCCTCCGTACAGTTGTATACAAGCTCATCACCAAAATCATCACTTATTGTCGAAAATATTTGATGCTCATTTCTATCAAGCCGTATCAGACAATTTTTTAGATGGTCACTTTATCTCGGATAATATAATTATCAATCAAGAGATCATTCATTCAATGCAGAATCTGAAGAGCAAGCAAGATTTGATGGCAATTAAAGTTGATCTTGAAAAAGCTTTTGATAGGCTCCGATAGGACTTCATCCAAGACTTGTTTTCTGAAGTCGGCTTTCCCTTCATTCTTACTAATACCATTATGCACTGTATCACCTCATCTACTATGCAAATATAGTTGAATAACAACTACTCCTCTTCTTTTAGACTAGAAATGGGTATCCGTCAAGGTGACTCTCTGTCATCGTATATCTTTATCTTAGCAAATGAACGTCTCAGACATAGCATTCATCATTGTGTCAACTCCGAAACTTGGAAGGGATTCTCCCTAGCTGGAAATGGCTTGTCGGTTTCCCACATTTTCTTCGCGGATGACCTCATCCTATATGGCAAAGTGGATTTGCATCAGGCTAATCTTATAGATGAAATTCTCACCCAATTCAGATATTATTTGGTACATAGAGTTAATAAACGCAAAACTCAAATATTCTTCTCTCCGAATACCAATGTTGGAATAAGTACTTCTATCAGCTCGGCTTTTGGAGTTCAAGAAGTTGATTCTATTGGGAAGTATCTTGGCGTCCTGGTCTTCACGGGGAGAGCTCAATTATACAACTTCTCCTTTGTCTTAGACAAAATCCACAGTAAACTTAATGGTTGGGTTGCTTAAACTCTTTCCATGGTCGGTCACCTTACGCTTTTTAAGTTCGTGCTTTCGACGATCCCGGTCTACTTTATGCAAGTTATGAATTTCCCCAAGAGTATATGTAATGACATTGAACTCCATATTAGGTGTTTTATTTTGGGATCATCTCCCTCAAATAACAAGCTATCTCTTGTTTGATGGAATATTGTTTGCAAACCTCTTGAGAGATGAGGACATGGAATCACTCGGCTAAGTGAGCAAAATAAAGCTTTCCTAATGAAGCTTGGATGTGTTTTGCTTACCAAACAAAATGCTTATTGGGTTACCTTCTTCAAACAGAAATATAAAATCCAAAAAGGTCTCATGGATACCATTGAAAGACAATGATGCACTCACCTTTGGTGGGGGGGGGGGGTAAGCGAAAACTTGGCTTGCCCTTAAATCTAGACTTGTTTGGACTGTCGAGGACGGTAACACCATAAATTTTTGGGATGATGTTTGGGTTTCGCACTTAGGGCCTCTTAAAGACCTGTTGGAAATGAAACACTCACACAAACAACTTTTATTGAACTTAAACAAATATTACAAGAGCACTCTCACTCAAAAATAATAACTACAACTCACTCTTATAAGACTTTTCTTCTTCACTCTCTTAGAAGCTCTTAATTTTTCTTGATGCTTAAACTAAATGGGGATGAGTATTTATACTACTCAAGAACAATCCTACACCACACAAATAAAATAATTTAAATCATTAAAATATACAAATGCCTAACTCTCACCTAACTAAATTGATGTATGCAATGACATCTTCATCTAATTGATGTAAGCAATGACATCTACATCTAATTGATGTAAGCAATAACATCAATTTAGTTTGGGTTTGGGTTTAGGCTTCCATAATGGATCAAGTTTATGACCCAACACCCCCTTAAACTTGATCTTGTGATTCCTAGTAAGTTTCTTAATCTTATGAAGTCTTCGCTTGTTAGTGGCTTGG